CATGCAGGCGCGGATCTAGGATTTCTTAGGGGGGGGGGGCCCAAATTTGAAATCATGCTAGCCAAATATTGGTACGTTATGGTGACCAGCAGTGACGTAATTGGGGGGGGGGGGTGGGTGCAAGGAGGGGCTAGTTTCTCCCTCCCTCCTCCGCGAAGCGCGGAAGCTTTGACATTTCAATAAATTATTAGAGAAAGAAGACGTTTCGTTGTATCGTTCTCGACTCTTAATCCTTGTCTAACTTCAGTTTCCCCCTCCCGTGCCAAGCGCGGAAGCTTTTACGTTTCATTAAATCATTAGAGAAAGAAGACGATTCGTTGTACCGTCCTCGACTCTTAATCCTTGTCTAAATTCAGTTCCCCCCCCCTCCTCCCGCGCGAAGTGCGGAAGCTTCGATGTTTCATTAAATCATTAGAGAAAGAAGACGATTCGTTGTACCGCTCCGAAAATAATCCTCGTCTGAATTTATTTTCCCCCTCTTGCGCGAAGCGCGGACGCTTTTACGTTTCATTAAATCATTAGAGAAAGAAGACGATTCGTTGTACCGTTCTCGACTCTTAATCCTTGTCTAAATTCAGTTCCCCCCCCCCCTCCCGCGCGAAGTGCGGAAGCTTCGATGTTTCATTAAATTATTACAGAAAGAAGACGATTCGTTGTACCGCTCTCGAAAATAATCTTCCTCTGAATTTATTTTCCCCCTCTTGCGCGAAGCGCGGACGCTTTTACGTTTCATTAAATCATTAGAGAAAGAAGACGATTCGTTGTACCGTTCTCGACTCTTAATCCTTGTCTAAATTCAGTTTCCCCCCCCCCTCCCGTGCGAAGCGCGGAAGCTTAGACGTTTCATTTAATTATTAGAGAAAGAAGACGATTCGTTGTACCGCTCTCGAAAATATTCTTCGTCTGAATTTATTTTCCCCCTCCCGTGCGAAGCGCGGAAGCTTTTACGTTTCATTAAATCATTTGAGAAAGAAGACGATTCGTTGTACCGTTGTCGACCCTTAATCCTTGTCTACATTCAGTTCCCCCCGCTCCCTCGCTACGTGTTTTTTGGGGGACCACCCCACCGCCCCACCCCCCCCCCCCTGGCTACGCGCATGCGGTCAGATGAACTTATGTTGATACCTTGTCTGCCCCCGGAAGCTCAGGGGTTTAAGGCAATAATTTACGGTCAGATTAGCATTCAGGGGTCCGCCTTTGGGCCCTAGGCGGGGTCCAGGGGGCAGAGCCCCGGAAGTTCAGGGTTTTAGGCATTTAATTACGGTCAGATGAGCATTATTTTGATACCTAATTGTGACACTTGCAGGTCACTAATTGGCGTGGGGTTCAGGGGCGGAGACCCGGAAGCTCAAGGGTTTTAGACACTCATTTACGGTCAGATGAGTATCAAGGGGCCCGCCTTGGGGCTTTTGGTTGGGGTCAGGGGGCAGAGCCCCCGGAAGCTCAGGAGTTTTAGGCGTTTACTTACTGTCAAATGAGCATCTAAGGGCCTGCCTTAGGGCCCTAGGTGGAATACAGGGGGCAGAGCCCTCGTGGTTTTAGGCATTTAATTTAATCATGGTCAGATGAGCAGATTTTGATACCTCATTATAATGTGACACTGGCAGTTAACTATTTTTTATTTCTTGCTCTCTTTCTTTCTATTTCTCTCTAATATACTTTTTCAAAAAAAAAGTGGGGGGGGGGGGGGCTCGAGGATCCCGATCCCCGCCGTTCCGCGGGCCCTGACATGTAGGCATCTCAAGAAGCATTTTTCTTGCCTGGCTGTGAATTTAGGAATTTGTCATTTTCCAACAAACGCATAAAAAAGTACAATTTACTTAAAAGTGATGAAAAATTACAACTGATATCCTTACCTTTCTTCATTCTTTCTTTGTTCTTTCCCTTTCTCTCCTCTTTCCCTTTCCTTCCTTCTCTCTCTTTTAAGTTTGCCTGGGGGGGGGGGGGGGAGATCATTTTGGCCCCCACTCCGCTCCACACATTGTTGACTGCTCTCCCCTTCTTTTCTCCCTTTACTTTTCTTCTTCCTCTTTTTTGTTCCCTTTTAGCTCTCCTCTTTTCCTTTTCCTTCCTTCTCTTTTTTTTAACGCGGGGACGGGGGGGGGGGGGGGGGGGGAGGCAAGGGCCTTTTGCCTCCTCCCCCCGATCGGTAAAAATTGCAACTGATACCCCCCTTCTTTTCTTTTCTTCTTCCTCTTTTTTCCTTCCCTTTATCACCTCTTTCCCTTTTTTCTTTCCCTTTCCTTCCTTCTCTTTTATTTTTTGATTGGGGGGGGGGGGGGGGAGGCAACAGCCTGGGAGACAACAGCCTGGGAGGCAATAGCCTGGGAGGCTAAGTCCTTTTGCCCCCCTCCCCAAATCTCCTTCTTCCCTCTTTTCTTTTCTTCTTCCTCTTTTTTCCCTTTCTCTCCTCTTTCCCTTTCTCTCCTCTTTCCCTTTCCCTTCTTTTCCTTTTCTCTCTCTCCTTTTTTTTTCGGGGGGGGGGGGGGGGGAGGGGGGGGGGGGGGGGCAATGCCCGCTCGGCCCCCCTGGATCCGTGCCTGTCTACATGTACTAAATGTACATTTGTCTATTATGTATGACCATTGAGCATTCGGTACAATGGTCTAAAAATCAGACTAATTAAACGAGCGTGCTCGCTAAATTCAATTCGACAACTAATTATGATCATTATTTTCTCACAAAAAGACATTTTCAAACCTTTTGGTGTTGAGGGAAGTTCTAAATTATTATTATCTTTCAAATTACATTGGAATTTAACCTCGTCATTATTTTTGGCCTGCACATAGGACCAGGCGCGGATCCACGTGGCGATTTTTCCGGCCTAGCCCCCCCCCCTAGCCCAACAAACTGTTTAAAAAAAGGATAATGACGCAAATTTAACCTTTTTTTAAAACAAAAAACGAAAGCGGGCCCCCCTCCCCCCAATTTTTTTTTTTAATTTTTCGCCCACACCAGCAAAAAATTAGTGGTTCTCCTTTCCATCACCCCCCCCCCTGCGTATTCACCGGCTGGATGAATCGCTGCTAAATATTCTCTCACGAATTCCCCCCCCCCCCCCCCCCCCCCCCCTCTTGTCGTCGGCTGGATCCGCCCCTGCATAGGACATAATACCCGTTTTAACTTCAATAAACTGTATTGTAATTGGGTGGCGAAAAGTTAACGTAAGGTAGTGAAGAAAAAATATTCCAGTTTATCCATAGACAATGAACATGACGCCAGGGTGGCGAAAAGTTAACGTAAGGTGGTGAAGAGTTAATATTCCAGTTTATCCATAATGTACATGGCGCTAGGGTGGTGAAAAGTTAGCGGAGGGTGGTGAAAATTAATATTCCAGTTTATCCATATAGACAATGTACATGACGGTAGGGTGGTGAAAAGTTAGCGTAGGGTGGTGAAGAGTTAGTATTCCAGTTTATCCATAGCCAATGTACATGGCGCTAGGGTGGTGAAAAGTTAGCGTAGGGTGGTGAAGAGTTAATATTCCAGTTTATCCATAGACAATTTACATGGCGCTAGGGTGGTGAAAAGTTAGCGTAGGGTGGTGAAAAATTAATATTCCAGTTTATCCATACTAAATGTACATGACGGTAGGGTGGTGAAAAGTTAGCGTAGAGTGGTGAAGAGTTAATATTCCAGTTTATCCATAGCCAATGTACATGGCGCTAGGGTGGTGAAAAGTTAGCGTAGGGTGGTGAAGAGTTAATATTCCAGTTTATCCATAGACAATGTACATGGCGCTAGGGTGGTGAAAAGTTAGCGTAGGGCGGTGAAAATTAATATTCCAGTTTATCCATAGACAATGTACATGACGGTAGGGTGGTGAAAAGTTAGCGTAGGGTGGTGAAGAGTTAGTATTCCAGTTAATCCATAGCCAATGTACATGGCGCTAGGGTGGTGAAAAGTTAGCGTAGGGTGGTGAAGAGTTAATATTCTAGTTTATACATAGACAATGTACATGGCGCTAGGGTGGTGAAAAGTTAGCGTAGGGTGGTGAAAAATTAATATTCCAGTTTATCCATACTAGTACATGACGGTAGGGTGGTGAAAAGTTAGCGTAGGGTGGTGAAGAGTTAATATTCCAGTTTATCCATAGCCAATGTACATGGCGCTAGGGTGGTGAAAAGTTAGCGTAGGGTGGTGAAGAGTTAATATTCTAGTTTATCCATAGACAATGTACATGGCGCTAGGGTGGTGAAAAGTTAGCGTAGGGTGGTGAAAAATTAATATTCCAGTTTATCCATAGACAATGTACATGACGGTAGGGTGGTGAAAAGTTAGCGTAGGGTGGTGAAGAGTTAATATTCCAGTTTATCCATAGCCAATGTACATGGCGCTAGGGTGGTGAAAAGTTAGCGTAGGGTGGTGAAGAGTGAATATTTTAGTTTATTCATAGCCAATGTACATGACGGTAGGGTGGTGGAAATGTAGCGTAGGGTGGTGAAAAATAAAAGAATAAATATTACCATTTATCCATAGACAATTATTGTACATGACGCTAGGGTGGTGAAAAGTTGAGATCGTGAAAAATGATATCCATAGAAAATATGTACATGACGGTGACATAATGGTGAATAGTTGATGTGATTTGGTATTTAAAGAGTTAATGCCCCCTTTCCCAGAGAAAAGGCATATAATTATGCATGACTTGCTTAATTATAGTGCGGGGATATATTGCAATTCAAAAGAAGATAATAACGTTTTAATTTCTAACATACATGAGGTGAGGTCTTAGTATAATTCTTTGACTTGCCCCTAAGTACTGCGCTTTACCCCCCCCCCCCCTCCATCATCTACTCTCATTATATCCGACCACCTTGCCTATTTTAATTGGTAGCCAGCCATCGTTGCACTGATCCAATACACGAAGAATATAGTGTAGTATAGCGTTTGTATGTTTACAATGCGATCTTTACACTTATCAAATTGGCAATTTTTACACATTGGATGGGCTACCTTCATCTCCGATTAGGTGTGTGAAGAAAAGCTTCACCCACCGAGATCACTATCGACGGCGTTTACAAGGTCGATGTCAGCTCGAGGTGATACTGAGGTGTTCTGGGAACCGCACTTTTCCTGTTACTTCTTCGGTCCCGAAGGGGCGGAGAGGATTGCTGAATTGCCATTTGATGGTAGGTATACCAAGTTCGTGGAGGAATAACAGTTTTATATCGTTGGGTCTACATAGTTATTACGGATAAAGGATTGGGGGGGGGGGGGGGGGTGGGGGGCAGGGGTGAGGTGTGTCCCTCGATCGTACCACAACCTGCAATGTTAGACTCCAAAAGGCACTCCAAAATATTATTTCGGACGTGTGCCCCCCCCCCCCCCTCCCCTGATAATCCAAGATCGGAGGGCCGGGGCGCGTATTTTTGATTTACACGGCAGCGAGGGGAATTTCTCAATTAATTCCAATGAAACCGCTCGCGACGAGTCTAGACTAGACCGAATCAGATTACGAGTACAGCAGTGCAGTGTTAGGGAATGTAGATCTAGAGAAGGAAACGATGAAAGACATCTAAAGGAAAACAAGAAAACAAAATTAATAGTCTAGCTGTCTTATGCAATAAACAGTGACGGCAGTATGATATTATGTGCGACACCATGGCACAGAGAAATCGAGAGCGTGAACATAATATACATGCCCTCGGCCACGTACCAACAACACAGAGTACATCGACAACACAAGTCATATTCAATACAGGCACTACAGACTAGACTCTCCGCGAGCGGTTTCATTGGAATTAATCGAGCTTTTCCCCTCGCTGCCGTGTAAATAAAAAAAATACGCGGCCGGGGCATGTGGATAATGCGACGTGCCGATTCTTTGATTGGTCCCACAAGTCACATGTTTAGACCTTAATATACCCATGGATATTTTCTCTTGTCAGATATAGTTGTATATGATTTACTATTTAGTATTATGCTTTATGATGATTATTTCCCTGTAGGTACTGAGATGACCAACGACAAATATACGTATAGCTACCTCAAGGAGCTACTGCGAGCTGAATACCCTGGGTCAAAGATCCTGTTTGTGAAGGATATGGTAGAAAGTATAAAGAACGATTTCGACGTCGTCGACCGCGGTTATAAACAATCCTTTATCATCCGCCATCCTCGTAAAACATTTCGCTCCTTGTACCGTAGCAATGAGGCGCGAAAAGGGACCCGTGACTCCGTCACAATGATTCAAAGACTCAGGGACATGTATCACATCTTGGAGCGCTTCTACCGTTACGTTGAAGCCGAGTTCGACCAGGGATCCCCTCCTATCATCGACGCCGACGACCTCGTCAATCACCCGGGGAAGCTGCTCCCGAAATACTGCGAAGCCATGGGCATCGAGTACACACCCAAGATGCTGGAATGGGAGAGCGTTGATGCCGAACAGCTTACCTGGCACTGCACCGACATAGGGATCTTTACAAAAGCTGAGACGAGAAATAGTTTGATATTATCAAATGCAATGAAAGGACAAGGTTTTGGCAAGGCTCCCGATCTTACTAAAGATATCGAACTGCCAGCGGCCGTCGAAGCGATGATAAGCTATGCTCTACCAGTCTACGAGAAATTAAATGAACTTCGCATTCAGCCTTAGGGCACATGTCACAGTTGTATTTCCCAGGAGGAAAAAAAAGTTCCCGTCGAAACCATAATCGGCTTTAATGATCGTGAGTTCCAGTCACGGTGGACAAAACTAAGTTAAGACATGTGCGAATACAATAAAGGACATGATTATAGAAGAACTTTGGACTTTTTTTCAAAAGAAAAAACAATGGACTTAAAAAACATCGTTGAGGAACACCAATGAAAGGTATTACTATTACTATTCAGAATTTAATGTATCCCGTCACTGAAGTAATCGTTGAACCACTCTAGGCCTTTTCTCGGCTTTCATAATCATTACAAGTAACTGAATGAATATGATTTATTGTCAGTTAATATTCGAAAGAAACCCAGGGTGGGGAGGACGTTAATTACCTAAATGTAAGAAGGGGTGTGATATTAGCTTACGAGTAGACACGCAATAGCAACTCCTTTTTTCACCTTTGAAGATGAATTACCAATTTACTAATTTAAACCATTCATTCATATACAGTTTTAATTCCTCTTTTGTTCAAAATTATAACTCATAAGTGGAACCATTACTGGACTTCGAATGAACTCGTCTCTATCCTCTATTTTGCATCTTTCGAATCAATTGGATCATTTTAATCCAATTATCTAACGAAGTTCAACATTGAGATTGTTGTAAACAAACGTACTCGGTCTGGCAGACAGACTAAGGCAGGCGCGTACACAGAGGTGGGGGGGGGGGGGGGACGGACGCCCCTGGTTGTTATCCCATTATTTTCTTTAAAGAAATGCAATTGCTAAGGCTCTCGCACCTCTCGTCTATCGTTGTCTAATTCTCTTGAATTTATTTCCTTTTTCTTTTAACTTACAAAACATTTGCAATTTTCTCCTTTTTTTCGGGGGGGGGGGGGGGGGGGCTACAAGCCTGGCAAGAGGGACACTATATTATGCTCACTGCGAAATTGCGTGTCCCCCCCCCCCCCTTTAACGGTAAAAATTTATTTTATTCCTTTTCCGCCTTTTCTCTCTCTCTCTCTCTCTACCCCTTTCCTTCTTTCCCCCTCCTTTTTCTCCTCTTCCCTTTTCTTTTTTCGTTCTTTTCTTCTTCTTTCTCTCTTCCCTTTTCTTTCCTTTTCCCCTCCTTTTTCTTTCTCCCTCCCTTTTCTCCTTTTCTCCCTTCCCATTTCCCCTTCCCCCCTTTTTACCGGGGGGGGGGGGGGGGACGTGCCCCCCTGTGACCCCCCCCTGAATCTGCCACTAGTATAGTTGTATATATGTACTTTACAGGGACGGCGATCCAGGGGGGTGGGGGGGGGGACACTTCCCCCTCAATTTTCTTAGGGGGGGGATCTCTCTCCCCCCCCCGGAAAATTTGAGGAAGTGCAGAAAAAAGTGTATAGCAAATACTGACTAAAGACTTCAACAAAGTTTTAGGCTCTGGAGGGCCCAAGTAAGAGTACAGCGTTTAGACAAATAAAAATGCAAAAATCTTCTCGCTCGGTAACTACACTCTCTCGTATAATATCCTTCTAAGTGTACAAGTAAATACTGTAGAAAAGTGAGGTGTGAAAAAAGTATATTGCTTGTTTTTATACTATTGTTCTGCTTTGAACAAAACTTCAAAAACCTGTGAGAGGTTGGGTCACTTCCGTCACCCTCACCCATCTCCTTCACTATGCACTGGCGTAGAATTGGGGGGGGGGGGGCTTGGGGCAGTTGCCCCGCTAATACAATTCAAACTTGGTTTATTTCTAATTCGAAACCAGTGATTTACAAATGTTGCTGAAATGGCAAGGTGTTTCCCTGGGCCCTGTAGACCCCAAGTACCCTAAGGGGGCCCCTGGTTGCTACTCTGACCGTAATAAAATCCTAAAAAAACCTGGGCCTCTGGGGGCTCCGCCCCATGTTCCCGTCAGGGGCCTAAGGCGGACCCCTGGATGCTAATCTGATCATGATTTAATGCCTAAAAAACCCTTAAATTCTGGGGGCTACGCCCCCTTTACGGTACTCCAATTAGTGATCTGCATGCCAGTGTCACTAATAAGGTTTCAAAATATGCTCATCCAACCGTAATTAAATGCCTAATACCTCTGAGCTTCCGGGGGCTTTTTCCACCTGGAAGCCCCACCGGGGGCCCTAAGGCGAGCCCCTGGATGCTCATCTGACCGTTATAAAATACCTACAACCTCTGAGCTTCGTGGGGCTACGCCCCTGGACCCCACGCCAATTTACGCTCCACTTGCTTCGCTCGCTTTTCTCTACCTGATCGTAAATACTTTAGCCCCCTCCCCCCCCCCCACCCACTTTGAAAAACGTTCCGCGGGGCCTGCATGTAACATGTAAGAGAGCGAGTGATACAGATTTTTTCCTTCGGCCCCCAAATTTTTTGCTTATTACGCCTCTGCTCCCTCGCATTCCCCCCCCCCCCCAAGGTCGTGAAAAGAAATCGCCGCCCCTGGACGTATATTTTCCTGCGTTCTGATTGGTCGGTCGGCTTGACGTATAGTCGTATAGTTGTACGGATAGTGGCATGCTTAGCCCGCCATATATCCCGCCATTTTTACCCCGACTAGCTCGACCTTTACCCTAGGATAACTTGCCTCTGTCTGAACAAGACTATTAAATCGCTTGATATTAAACAAAAAAATGTTTCAAGTGAAGTCTCAATTAATAGAATTGTAGAAGCATTTTTAGAGTAGGCTCAAGTGAATTCCAAGTTTCGGTCCATTGTACATAAAAAGAGTAAAAGAGAAAGTGAGAGAGAAAGGGCGAGAGAGAGAGAGAGAGGGAGAAGAAGAGAGAGACCACTAGAGGAAGAGAGAGAGAGAGGGGAGAGCATGGCATCAAGGGATATGATATTATCCAGATAAAGGGGTCTACATGGATGTGTTGGGAGAGGAGGGGGCAACATTGTCGTTAAGGGGGGGGGGGATTCATTGAGGTTTTTTAATTAGGTATTCTAATTAAAACATTATCGATATCTGTTTCAATTTCCTCTTATTTTGTTACCCTTCCCCCTTTGCCCCTACATTCTCAAAGAGGCGGTGAAGGGAGAAGGGCGGAGGGGAGGGGGAGGGTCACCCTTAAGTTGTTCCAAATATTGTTACTTCTGGATCCACACATTACACGATAATAGTAACACGTGTCAAATAGCCAGGGATTTTATTGTAGGCAGGGGCGCAATCAAATTCATGATTGCCTTTTAAGTCCGTTGTATGGGAATGTGTAGGAGTATTTTAGTGAGGTATTATAAAACATGATTGTATGTCGGTTTCATTTCTGCTGATTATATCTGTCCGCTATCCCCTTTTCACGCATTGCCATTAGACAAAAATATGAGTACTAATTCGTCCATGTCATCTTTATTATTTTTGTTAATGATATAGCGACGCCGTAAACTATGGAGGCCTTTTTCATTCTATTATTTTTCCTCTGACTTTTAGGGGTACATTTTAGCATTACATATTGACCTCGAATGGCGGAAATTGTTTTTGAATGATTGATAGACATTTCTATTCTTAAATTATCATCTACCTGCTCTTTCACAACACTGCATTCATCAGTTTATGATCATTTACTTATCCTAATCATAGTATAATTATATTTGGTTTCATCAATTCTACTAATAGCTGTGTCCATGCCATGGCTCATTAAATGGATAATGATGATTAAGTGTATGTCGTGCACGATTCACGCACCTATGCATGGTCACCGTGGAGATCATTGCATTGACGACCTTCGTCATTGCCTTGTTTTCGTTCACATTCTGCCCCATAAATATTCTCCTTTTCCTTATCCTTATCCTTATCGTCAGGAAATCGCATTCGTTTTGCATGTAGTGATTGTTATTCCTGGTTAGGTGCTTTTCTCATGTCCTTTTTCTTTCAAATTTCATAGACATAGTCTCTAACATCCCATCAAGGTCACTACGTTCTTCGATTTTTGAAATCACTCATGCATAACCGTCCAGGCGCCATTTTGTCCGTTTCTGGTCCATTTTAAGGTCTTTATTTCTTCCTTCCCATCTCCATTATTCTAGATCCTACGAATTTCTAACAAATTCCTCTAGATAGTTTGAGAGATGTTCTTTCATCTGCGACGTATGACTTGACCTTCAAAATGCCATCTTCGTACTCAAAATTGAAATCTGAAACCGACTCCGTCAAAAGTCTCTCAAATTCTTGAAAAATGGACCCCTAAATAATCTAAAACTGCCATAACTTTCTCATATAAATTCCGTTTAGTATATAAATCTCACGGTATCTTTATCTCATAATTGCACATAGCCATGCCAAATGTCACGCTCCAATGGCTTTGCAAAACATAAATAGCGCCCTCTAAAGTTCTGGGAATTGGCTTTCTTTCTGTGGCCGTATCTCCATTATGGCTTGGCAGACCCGTACCCTTTTTGGATTTAGATACTTAATGATATGCCCTTTCCAGCCATATACAAAATTATATACCCTATCACTGACCAAATTTGAGAAAGTTGCCCTCCAAATTCGCCATTTTCAAGAAAATTCCGAAATAACTTCAACTTGCTCTAAAATGACGATCTTTATACCTACATCAATGAAACTTGACAGATATATGTATCCATATACGTGACAACTGTCTGCTAAGTTTGGTAAATTTCGCTTATGTCAGCGCAAAGTTATCGCCCAAAATGATGTTTTTACTATGCATTACGTGATAGCGCGTTTAATGCATGCATTACATTAGGCGCAGATGACAATGATGTCAAACTGACCGCAATGAAGTGCCCTTTCGAATGATACCAAGTATGGTATATGTTCACACAGAAAATTTTGAGTAAATCGCATTCGAACAAGGGTCACTATACAAATTTCGCCGAGTTTCCGCCCGATCATAACACTTATCGGCCATGACGTCATTTTTTTCAGAATGTTATTTGGTTATGTTAGTATGGGCGGCCGTTCGTTCCAAAGCACGCGTCGCAACATGTTTATCATGCACCAAAACCTATTGGTTTTGCACGCAGTGCTTGCGAGCCCTTTCTAGATCCCTTCCTCTACTCCAATTCCCTTCAAAATTCGTAGGCGTAGTCTCTAGCATTACTTCAAGGTCACTGAATTCGTCGTTCTCCCGAAACCCTCATGCGTGACCGTCCAGGCACCATTTTTTTCCGTTTCGGGCCGTTTTGGTGACCTTTCTTTCGCCCTAACTATCTTCACTACCACAGAGGCTACAGACTTTTTACATATTGCTCTGGATAGTCCGAGAGTAGCTCCTTCGTTTGACACGTAGAAACATGGCGTCATTGCACGCACATCGTTGTGACCCGATTGCATTTCTAGTTCTACCTCATCTCGTTTCCTTTTTGTTTACAATGCTGAGAAATAATGATTTCATTTTGGCAGGTTCGCAGTTCAGTGAAAATTGCCCCTGTTAAAGGTATTTTATGTCTTTTTTTATTATTCTAATGGGAAACCGTTAAATGAAAAGCCATGGTCCCATAAGGAAACAAAACATATTTTTATTTGGAAAAAAGTTCTTCTTTGCTAATCTTCTTCCAACCGCAGAGCATATAGCTCCGTTTAGTCTCATTTGACAACACCCCTTATCGGCAGAGTCCAGCAGCATAACTGGACCCCCCCCCCCAAAAAAAAAAAAAAAAAAAAAAAAAAAACGTTAAAAATTAATTTTTTGTTTAAACGAAAAGCACATCCACCTATCACTAGCTCTTGCATTGTAACACTCATG